CCTCCAGCTTTATTTTTTTTGCTCAGCATTGCTTTGGCTATTCGTGGTCTGGCCCCGAGCCCTCCACCTGAGCGCTCCCCGCCGGGGCCCCCCCCCTGGGCGCCCCCCGCCGGGGCGCCCCCCGGGGCGCCCCCCGCCCCCGGGAGCCGGCTGCCGAGCCCCAGAGCCAAGCGTCAACGCCCCCGGCAGAGGCCCGACCTTGGCCACCTGAGCTTTGCTCAGCAAGGGATACGCGACCCCGCCCCAGTTGCAGGAGTGCACAAACAGCGACTCCGGTACTGGCGTCACCAGCGTCCTTCCAGCTTGCAACTGCCTCCCCCGCGGCCACACGCGCTCACGCTTGACCCCACGGGCGAGGAGAAGCCCCCGGCTCCCCTAGGGTTAATAAAGAAGCGGCGCGCACCCACCGCCTCGTGGGCCAGACAATAGCGCAGTGAGCGCGGCGTCTGAGAGTCCTGGTTTCCCTCCTCGCGCGCGCGCCCGCGCGTCCCCCTACGCCCCTCCACCACTCCACCCCCGTGCACGCCAGGGGCCTGGGACCTTGGGGTCCAAGTCTTGGCTTCTAAAGCCCGGATCTGGGGCCCCCAGCGCGCAGTAAGTGCTCTCCTCTCTGGAGCTGCCTCTCCAGGCCCAGGGGCACCGAGGACTTTGTGCCTCAGCCTTGTTCGCCCCAGGATCAGCCAGAGCGGCCCCCGCCCACGACCTGCCTCTCCACACCCTCCCTCCTCGCCTCAGCCTCGCTCAGCAGCCCACCCGTGTGGGGGCGGAATCCGCTATGCATACACGTGTGCGGATTATTAAGCAGGGGAGCCAGGGCCGCAGCTGTCTCCACGCAGCAACCTCGCTAATTGAGGGGGAAGGGAGCTCGGAGCGCGCGGAATTCGGGGAACCGAGAGTGCGCTCGGAGGCTGAGCTGCCCCCCTAGGAAGGAGTAAGCCCGGGGCTCAGACGGGCTTTGAGTGCAGGGACGAGCGGGAAGTTTTGCGGAGTTGCGTAGCAGGTGTTTCCTTTCCACTCAAGGGCTTCTCTGGGCAAAGCCGCGTCCTATACCTTGGGCCCTACCCTGTTCCCCTGCGATACACTGTACACCTCCCCAGGGCACAACCTTCTTTGCCCTCGACTGTTTCTGTTTTGCCTCTTAATTCCCAGCTAGACCAGTGCGTCCGGAGGCCCCTGCCAGCCTGGCCCTGCTCAGGCGGCGGTGCCTCCGCAGCAGGCGGTTACAGCGGTGGCGGCCAAGGAAGCTCTTTTTCAGGTGGGCGGAAGGTCGTTGTTTGCGGGAAGCTCCCCAATCCCGAGCGACCGTGACTCTAGGGGATAAGACCCAGCGTCTGCGCTCCCCGGGATCTTGCGGTGCATTCCCGCAGACACTCTTTGTGAGGTTGCATGCTTGTGTGGGGAGCCTGGTGCCGAGCAGTCAACTCCCATCCAGCCTCGGCACCCAGCGGAGAAGAGCGACCAGGAGGGGAAGCCCAGCCTGCGATTCTCTCTGCCTCTCTCCAAGCCAATCTGGAGTTTCCTAATGGACCCGAGCTAGTCCTCCTTTCGCCCTGTTAATCACCCTTGAATCTGGATCACTAGAGGAATAGAAAATGGGTGGAAAAGAAGATGGAAGAATCTAGAGAGGAACGGGGAATTTTGTTTGAGAAAAATAGCAAATGACCAATAAAAAAGATTTACAAGATTTGACTCCATCCTTTAAAAAGAAAAAATATATATCTATCTCTATATAGATAAATATGTATTTTCCCAGGATCCTGACGATGGGTGTTGATTGATAGGAGAAGCATCCAAGGAAGCTAAAAATGAAAAAAATGGGGGCAGGTACTTTGAATGTGAAAATCAATCAATATTCATCCTCTCTTCCTCTCTCCCCCCCCCCCGCCCCCCAGGGGATAGACAAGTGCACTAGCTATTGCTAGTCCCTCGGTTGCAGCCTGTAGGCTAGGTAGGAGGAAACATTCCCTAACTCATTTCAAGGAGACAACCCAGTTCACAGAGCCCAAGCCCCAGGAACACCTAGAGGGACTCCTTCCTCCACCAGGAGTAGAGAGGGGACTAACCCTGCGCCCGCAGTGAATACACCTGACGCGAAAGCGCGTCCAGAACTCCCCGCTTGCTTCATGCACTTCGCCAGCTACTTACAACTTGCAAGGAGCAAAGTCCGGGGGAGGGGGGAGGAAAGCGGGGGCGACCCTATAGAGACGGCTACTAATCGCTCACTGAGTACGTTGGAGGGGGAGGAAAGGAACAGAGGAATGGGGTGTAAGGGTGCGTGCGGGAGGCCGGCCGGCAGGGAGCTTTGCCTGCTGGTACCTAAACCTTCTTAGCCTGAACTTGCAAGGCCGGCTTCTCCAGGGCCACTTTCCCAGGTGCGCCGGGTCCGGGGAGAAAGTCCCGGGAACTACCCCCAGCCACCCCGATGCGTCGTGCCCACAACTCGAAGGAGCCAACACCGCCCCGCCACCGCGCAGTTGGAGCCCAACTCGTGTTTGGCTCCTTTCTCCCTAACAACCCACCCCACCGAGAAAAGAGAGACAGCTCGTTTTAGCCCGAGTGAGGGGAAGGAAAGGCGGGGGTGGGGCCGGGCCGATGAGGGCTGGGAAGAGCGCGGTGGAAGCGCCGCTCCCGGGCACTGCCTTCCGCCAGCGTCCGTGATGCAGAACCTCCCGGCAGACGCCAGCGGCTCGCTGCCTTGCCGTCCCCGAAACAGACACTTGCGTTCGCACACGGGGCCTCCGAGGGTTCCACCATCTCCCCCGGTAACGAGCGAGCCTCTCTTACCCTTAGCTGCAGTGAGAAGCTCCGCGCACAGAACCAGCAGCACCAGAAGCAGGAGCAGGGACTTGAATTTCCTCCACGCAGTCATGTCTGCAGATATTCCACACGCACACGACACCGATGGCTCGTCTCAGATGTGCCCGTCTCCTCCGAGGAGCGGCAGGGCTATGAACAGAGCCAAATAATCACCAGAGGGCAAGGCGAGCCGGAGACAGAGCCCGGTCCCGAGACCGGCCGCGCATCCGACGCCTCCTGCAGGTCTGGGCGCCCGGCTCGCTTCCCTCTCATAGCATCGGGTCCGGAGCCACTGCAGGGCTGAGCTGCTGCGAGCGTGGAGACCCGGGCTGGCGGGGCCGGGGCCGGGGACGAGCGCCGGCCGAGCCGGGCAGGAAGGCACCAAGGCGGCGAGGCTGCGGGAGGGGCGAGGCGGGGAGAGGAGCGCGCGCAGCCAGGAGAGACCTGGAGAGGAGGCAGATGGAGCGAGAGGCAGCGAGTGGGAGATGCGAGGAGGGGGGCGCGGGGGGAGGAGAGATCCAGCCTAGAGAGAAAAAGGCGGAGAGCGCAGAAGACAGGCTGCTAGCGGCACAAGGAGCTGCTGCCGTGGCGGCTGGACTCAACCATCCCTACCCACAGAGAGGGGAAGGAGGCTGGGCACGGCGCAATCCCAGACAGAGTCCAGCCCGGGGCCCTCGGGCTGCCCGCACCGTACTGCGCTCCATTCGGCTTCCAGCGCATCAGCGCACAGGCTGGAGAAAGGAGACTTGTTGGGCGCTAGCGTGGGGGAAGCCCATGGCGCACACAGGGGAGAAACAATGCAGTTGGGTAACTCCAACAAACTAGAGGACTTCTGAGGGGGCAGAGGGTGGCCTCCATGTAGTGATCTCCCTTTCATTGCTGACCAGAGAGAAAACCACTGCATGAGTCAGAAAAGAAATACAGGTGGAAAGAGAAAGGGCACAAGCTCTAACTCCAAGAGAGAAAAAACGTGTATGTGTGTGTGTATAAATTTTCAGAAATTATCTTTAACAAGATGACTATTGACAAGGAGCTACAAAGATTTTTCTGTCACCTGACTTCAGGTTGTGTTAGGGTTTATCCATGCACAAACTTCAAGTTCAGATGAAATTCAAAATGAGGAAGAGTCTCCGGAGTTGATATTATAGTCTGGTTATGACAAGTGGCCTGTTGGCACACCTTCAGGGGAAACTATACGTAAAAGTCAATGGGTTGAGCAAGAAGCTTAAGAGAGGAGACAAGTGCTCCTTGATTGTGTAGAGAAAGGAAGAAAGAGCGGAGCTCTAGAACAGCAGTAGCAGGTACAATGAGCTGGATTTCACCCAGGTCCCCAAATAGAGGAGGTATTCCTAAAATCTCTAGGGAACAAGTAAGGCCAGACGTTTGTAAGGTAGTAAGTTAATAGGAAAACCACAGGGGAGTGCTAGTTTTCACAAAAGGACCTTTCAAGGATTGACCATTCTTAACAAAAAAGGGTTTATTCTTTTAGAGGACTGGAGGGACGTAGAAACCCCACACCTTAGTAAGAGAGGATTATTCTCCACACGTGGAAAGGTTATAGTATAACAGCTCTACTAAATGCTGTATCACCCACATCACTGAGTGATTGTGGTGGAATGGAGAGCCCATCCATCGTTGACGGTCACTGCTTTATTACAGGGCATTGTGTCTGTTAGTCTTGGAGATTAATTAGGTTGACAGTTTCATAATGTTTTATACCCTTCCTTTAATTTTCTTAGATTCCTTTTGCATCCTGTGGTCTCTAGGCTGCATAAGAATGCGATGGTGAATCCAGAAAGTTCAAGATTGTGATAGCACCAAAGCATGATTTCCTTAGCCGTCTCACAGCCCAGTAAGAGCAACTGGAACCACCACCAAAAAACTCTTTTCTGTCTCATAGAAACATAAGCTTCTAATTATGAAGAGAGAAATTTGCTTCTCTGAGAGTTGCAGAACTAGATGAAATTTGAATTTTCCTCAGTGCAGAGTCCTACTTTGCCTTGGCTATCCCTGACGGGGAGAACAAGACAAAAAGGGTCAATCAAAGGGGGATTCCCAGTGGAAACTGAGTTCTATATTCTTTAGGCTGAATTAGGCATGTAGAGGAGAGGGTCACCCCCTCTGTGATTTTTAAACCAGACCCCAGATGTTATCTGTAACTCAGCAAGTGAACAAAAATGCTTGTTCAGACCCATTAAGTGCTCCAATAGTTCATTTTGAGCTCCTCATCAGGAAAAATTGATCTCTTTCCAGAGCTAAAGAGCCGACTTCTCCTTGAGAAATAGTGACTTGCTATTCCTAAAGACTCTTGTCACCAAGAAGGATTCCTGGCATTAAAAAATGTTTCCAAAAATCGAACCATCCTGGGCTAGGACTCACAGATGATTTTTTACTTTGTTAGGATCATTGAGGAATCACAATCAGGAATGTTAAGTGTCACCTCAGAAATTGAAAACTTTCATATTTGATTGTAACAGGCTCCAGGCTCTGGGATCCCAACCAAACTTCTCCATCATTGTATTCTGCTTTAAAACCTTTTATGTCACCTCCTTTCTCCAGAATGCAAAGAATCTATTTGATTCAAATCATTGAGAAATAATGGTCCCAATAATCATTTTTTGCTGTTGTTTATATGGCCGTTTTCTTTAGCCAGAATCTGACATTGGGGAGTTACAATGATTCACGCCAAATTGTTTCTTTGTCATAGGAATGAAAAGGGTAGGAAGCAGCTGTCAAACAAAATAAGCTGATTTTGTGATCGTTAATATTGCGATCTCCCCCCCCCCACCTCAAACCCCCAAGATCTCAAGGCCATTTTAATTTGGAAGAAAAGCATGGGGCACTGCTGCCATCTAGTGTCAAGCTTTTCTTGTTTGGAGTTTGCAGAGAAATCAGCAGTACCTGAGTCTTTCCTCTTATCTAATCTGCAGTTCCCTACCTGTTCTTTGAATCCCCTCCAGAACAATCCTGCATCCTTCATGTAATGAGCCTGTAGATGAAGCCTATTATTAGGCTACTGCAGGCGCAGGCTTCCCACCTTTTTTGATGTTTAGATGATTATGAAAGCCTTGATCTATATCAGAATTCTAGTGCCTGTTACTTAGAGCAGTGTGAACCAAATAGGATTAGAGTGAGTGAGGGACTGTGGGACGTCACGCCCGACTGCTCCGTGGCTCCCCTCTGCACTGGCTTGTGGTGCCTGAAACATTGCACTTTTTCACTTGGGTTTGGACTCCCATTTCCCTGCCTACACATAACATCCTCCACAGCCTCAGGACCCTAGCTAAACAGCACTACAAATACTACTGGCACAGGAGACCAACCATGCAGTTGAGCAGCACAATGATTAAAAGCACAGAGGCAGTAAAGACATTCCTAAAGTCAGATAGCAAATAAATTAAGACTCAGTTGGAGATGACAATATAAACATCTGCAAAAGGCAACAACTGAAGAGGGAGAGTGTATTTTAAATGAAATTGTCTGAGAAGGGGACAGAAAATGTGAACGTGATAGGTGAGATAAAATTAGAAAATTTAAAAATTCACAAATGAGAATGCTAATTAGCTATAAAAGCTGTACATATGTGAAAATATTAGAGAATATAGTATGTTTCCATGATGGCTAAATCCAACGTTGTTTGACTTGATTAATGTCATATACATAAAAAATTAATGACAACTAAAAAATTGGGGGAAATTGTTTTTTAATAGAGGGGACAGTATTAGGGCTCCATGTTTCATGTTTCCCAAAATGCAATGCCAATCTTGGGAGAACAAGTTTGAGGGAGCATAAGAAATAAAAGCAGAAGTCAAAATAATCTGTCCTTTGCAAAGGCCTTTTATACATAACCTCATTGATGGCCTTGGTGACTCCCCCCCTCCAATGATGAGGAAATGGTGGCTTTGAGAAACCAAGTGATTTATAGGAGGTCACATCTTATTGAGGGCCAGAGGGTGAATTACATTCAGGCCTTTTGCTGCATCAACATTTAAAAACCACACCTCTTGCCCTTCCATGATGGAACAGCATAAATACCTGGTTTCCAAGGTTCTTATGAACACTGGCCTCTGTGCTCCTGGTGTTTCCTTTATAAAATAACATAGAGTAAGACATGAATAAAAGCAGAATACACATTCTTTTTTCCTGCACATAGAATAGTCTCCAAAATAGACCATCTGCTATACACTTTTTTAAAAAAGGCGGGGGGGGGGGATTCTTGGTTCTCACATATTCTGGATATTAGCCTTTGTTGTATGCACAGTTTGCAAATACTTTATCCCATTCTGTAGGCTGTCTCTTCACTATAATGCTTGTTTCTTTACTTTTCATAGAAGTTTTCTAGTTTATGCAATCCTATTTTTCTATTTTCACTTTTGTTGACTGTGCTTTTGAAGTATTATTCAAAAAATCCTAGCCCAGTTCAATTTCATGAAATGTTTCCCTGTGTTTTCTTCTAGTAGTTTCATAGTTTCAGATCTTACATTTAAGTCTTTAATCCATTTAGAATTATTTTATATGGTGAGAGATAGAGGTCTAGTTTCATTCTTCTGCATGTGGATATCCATTTTTCCCATTTATTGATGAGAATGTCATTTTCTTGATGCCTTTGTTAAAAGTCAGTTGGCTATAAATGCATGGATTTATTTCTAGGTTCTTTATTCTGTGTATTGACCTATGTGTCTGTTTTTATGCCAGGACCATGCTGTTTTGGTTGCTATAGCTTTGAAGTGTAATTTGAAGTCAGATATGTGATGCCTTCAACTTTTCTTTTTCTTTTCTTGCCCAAGATTGTTTTGGCTATCAAGAGTCTTTTGCATTTCCATATGAATTTTAAAATTGTTTCTTCTATTTCTGTGAAGAATGTTATTGGAATTTTGATAGGGATTGTGTTGACTGTGTAGATCACTTTTGGTAGTATGAACATTTTCACAGTATTAATTATTCTAACTCATTACTATGGGATGTCTTTCCATTTCTTTGTGTCTTCTTCAATGTCTTTCATTAATGTTTTATAGTTTTCATTGCAGAGATCTTTCACTTCTTTGGTTAAGTTCAATGCTAGGTATTTTATTTTTTCTAACTATTGTAAATGCATTGCTTTCTTAATTTCTTTTTCAGATAGTTTGCTAATGGTGTATAGAAATGGTATTACTTTTCTATGTGGCTTTTGCATCCTGAAACTTTATTTAATTCATTTATTATTTCTAACAGGTTTTTTTTTGTGTGGATTCTTTAGAGTTTTCTGTATATATGATAATGTCATCTGCAAACAGGGAGATTTTGACTTTCTCCTATCCAATTTGTGTGCCTTTTACTTCTTTCTCTTGCCTGATTGATCTGGCCAGAACTTTTAGTATCACGCTGAATAAAAGTGGTGAAAGTCGGCATCCATGTCTTCTTCCAGCTC